CATAGTGTGCATTGTTTGATTATGAATTAATAAGTCACAATAAATTCAATGAACATGATTTTTACACTTAGTTAGAATTGCTTCATTCGTGCATTACATGTGGTCTAAGGCTTCATTTATTTCACCATTAGTGTTTTAGGTATTACTTAAGTAACTGAAAAAACCAATTCAATTTAGTAAGACCGAATAAAGCACTGATTAGATACAAAATACACAAAACGCTGCTTGAGTGAAGAAGTCTTTTAATTGCATAAATCACAAACTTCCAAAAAAAAAAAAAAGGATTACATTTGAGAATGTGTTATACACGCCATGCTGTCACTCCTCACTGATAAATGTGCTGATATTGTGACATGAAAATGACATTTAAATTAATATTGGAAGCGCTCTGTGTGTTTCCTTTATTTAAAGTCTCTGAAAATGCGTGCAATTCCTGAGGTAACCAGAAGAAGGCGCAAATGGTTAAGCATTCATGGGTTATGGAAGCAGAAATGGCACAAATCAACGTTTTGGGCCAAAGTAGAGGACACAAAAGGAGAGAATACAGCCTCAGCTGGTAGAGTTGCCTTTGATAATTAAAGGAAGTTTTTGAATTTGAAGTTAGAACTTCATATTTTTACGTGTTAGAATAATTCCATTGCGTTAAAGTGCGTAAACAGCAACTAAGTAATTGATTTGTTCTTTTTATTTTTTACTACGCATAGCTTAAAAGAATAATTAGAATATTACTGAAAACGTTATAGAATGATTCCTTTATATATTGTTTAAAAATGTGTTAAAATGTTAATTTAATCATTTAAATATTAACTGTTCTTATTCTTCCTGATGACATTTTGAATGTATGTTCCATAATATGTTGATACAAACTCGTATGTCGAATAAAGAAAACAGAATAAACCGCTTTTCTTCTAAATAGCAAGGAGACTATTATACAATATATATATATATATATATATATATATATATATATATATATATATATATATATATATATATATATATATATATATATATATATATATATATATATATATATATATATATATCAAATTGCAGCCGGATCTCACTGTGCGTAAATGCGCATTAATGAACCCAAATGTAAAGCTCTAACAGGCGATAACATAGCGGCGGTGGTTCTACCTAATTAGATAAACTGTGAAAACTTTGCAGCAGGTCTGTCTGCATGTGTGCAGCAGCAGTGACACTAACCAGAGAGACTTGCAGTGGCCTTTTTTTTTTTTCTTTTTTTGCAGATCCCAACATGTTTGGGGCGCAGAGCTGCGGGGCTGCAAGAAGTTTGACCTCAGTTTGACTTCATCGGGCTGCCTTTTGTTTCTCCACTAACTCCGGTCATCAACTAAAAGTCTGCCTGGTACAAGTTAGGTAAACTGAACATTTAAATACTGAAATGTTAATAATTTCTACTTTGATCTCAAACGACAGAGAGAAAAATATCAAATTACTGCGGAGCATATAGGTTTTATTTTCTAATTAATATTTTTTGTGTCCTATTCTTAAAGCTTTGCTCTCTTTATTGTTGCCACGCAGCAAACATTAAGACGCCATGGCTGTCTAGGAAAGCTTCCCATTTGTCTCTTCAGTCAAACGCGCTGCTGTCAATTTGCATCCAGTCATTTGAAAGTAATATGCAGTGATTTTATTGAAACGACTCCATGCATTACCGTCATCGCAAAGCGGATTAAGCCGAAGTGACGGTATTTGCCCTCCGCGCTCTCCTTTCAGGGTCCCAAAACGCACTGACCCTCACCAAAGAGCAGCTCCAGGATAGACCGCGGCGCTCCAGTTTTGCTTTTTATGGACGCTAATTGAAGGCGCTTAATTGCTTTATAATGCCACGGTGGTTGTTTTACAGTCAGCAGGCGTTGATGTGGACTCCTTTCATGTTAATTCATAGTTTCTTTTTCATAGTTGCTTGCTGAAATTTTAACGCAGAACTAGATTATCTTGAGTGGAAATTCCAGCTTCCTTTTACATTAGATTTTTTTTTGCGCTTTAAATAATGTAATTAATTAAAATTGTCTAATTAATTATTTACAATTTTAATAAAAATGGAGGTCATACTCACCACTATACAGATGGGATAACAAGCAAAGCAACAAGTAAGCCCAGGATTTGCCTTGATCGGTGTTTTCCTCAGTGCGTAAAAATCTCGCGCCCCCGCTGATGCTCTGCCCCTCTGTCCGCTCCTGGGAGCCACGCCGGCCGGACTGCAGCAGCTTCTTTTGCCGGTCGTTTCCTGCCCGTTAAACCGCCGCTTTGGATCCGACCGCTTCAGGACTTATATGCTCGGGAAGAGGCGCCGAGCGTGTGAAGCTGTATTATCCATGTTGTGACACCGACGGTGGCACCGGGGGGCAGATGATCGATGGCTGGACGCTCCTGCGTGAAGAAAAAAAAAAAAAAAGAACCCACAAGCAACACCTTTTCATTCACAAGAAGCGAAGAGGAAAAAAGATGCGGAAACCTCTGGAGGGACATAAACTATATATATATATATATATATATATATATATATATATATATATATATATATATATATATATATATATATATATATATATATATATATATATATATATATATATATATATATAGGCCTACTATAATTCTGGACTTTCTAAGGTCATTTTATCTACTAACAACGAATTATGTGGATGTCATCCTGTCCACATGAAAAAAGCTCTTGATAATGTATTTGCATACATTAAAGTAGTTAAACACGACTCTTAATTGGCGTAAAAATAAGACAGCGTGTCATATATAAATCACGCAAGCACAACAATCATACCTGCTTCCTTTGCAGTTGTTTCTGTATAAATGTCAGGTCCGCCAGCGCCATTTAAAATTCATTCATATTTATTATCTTTATTTATAAAATCATTGCATATAAAACTGCTTTCTGCAGAAATCAACAGTCAGCACAAAAGATAATCCTATAAAATAAAGACATAAGATGATATAAACATTGTTGTTTTTATTAAGTATGAAAACTTTTTTTTAAATCCATGCATTGAAACAAAAATCAATTAATAAAAGAAAAAAAACTGTGCTTTTGCGTAGAAAGTTAGAAAAATTATAATCATAAATTTTGATTGAATAATTTAAGTTTTTTATATAATGTTAGAGAACGTGGAAGGTGAAGAAAACGCAAAAGGATGCCTTCTCTCTTCCCAGACTCTTTTTAAATTTGCCTCCGCCTGTGAATGTGGCCTAAGAAGTCGATCAATCAACTAAGAATCGATCAAACTATTGGAGGGGGGGTAGGGGGGGTTACCATCCTTCTGCCTCGCTGCCATTGGACAAACCTGGCAGAGTGGAGCGACCCATTCAGCGCAGCTGCGGGGGAGCGAACCCTATCAGCTGTTATTCAGAATTTAAAAAGTGCTCTCATAAAGAGTTTTACATCAAGTCGACTTAACTTTGAGATGGAAACCAAAACAAAGACATAAACTGCACACCCCTTACTTAAAGCCAAACCATTTTAAGGGTTAAATGTAAACCACACTTGCAAATAACTTAGTTATTCCCATAGAAGTCTCTCAGTAGTCTGCTCTGTCTTCAGTTATTTAATTTGTTTCATATTTCAATTGCAAGTCTCTGCACATTTAATATTCTCGCACTTTGTTGTAATGAGTGAAGGGAAAGCTCACAACCTGCAAACAAATGGATGTGTGGTCACAATCATGCAGTCATTGCCTTCTACACTGCTAAAACAAACGGTTAGAATTGGATCTATAAATATGAAGCAGTGATCTGCGTCCATTTTTTCAAAAGTAGATTTTATTTTAAAAGTAGATTTCTTAACCAAAAGTCAAGATGTAATAAAAGTTATTAATAAATCCAAACCAAATGCGTAAGATTTAGTTACTCAGGTAAATTAGCAGGGTTTGACTGTCTGTAGATCATTTTGCGAGTCTGGTTTGTTTAGTAAAAAGAAACAAAACAGTACAAAACAATTTGCTAATAAAGTATGGAATGCAGCTGAAATACTATTATCTTACAAGGTGAGTGGGGAAACTTTTCCCTGACCATAACATATCCGGTGTTTATGATTAGCACCATATTCCAGAGTTAAAAAGCTCAGCTTGCCATTAGCATTGATGCAAAATTATTTAATACATTAATTCAAACTAAAATAATAAACTTTTAGAGTTTTTTTTTATTTTTATTTTGGAGCATAACACATTTCCCGGAACCCCACAGTTACTCTGTGTAACTTACTGGGAATGACCGCCTCAGATTTATGACAGCTTGTATTAACTTTCAATAAAACTCTAGCATTGGTGCTCTTGCTAAACTAGTTCAAGTGAATAAAAGGTGAGGTTCTTTCTTCATAGAACATTTCATAACACAAGTCTAATGAGAGTTCTCATCAATTTTACAAATTGGATTTATTCAATCTTAAAACATGCAACTTTATTAGTATGAAAGCCCTCTGTTGGACGTGAAGGCAGAGAAAATGATAACAGTTACATTCTAATTATGATTTTTATCTCCAACTAACAACTTTGATTAAACTTTAGATCATTTTATTGTCTAATATTTAGTACCCTGAAAATGCAGTTTTTATAGTTTAGTGAAAGTCTGATTTCAGTATTAATTCTAGAGCAGATGTGTGGGTTCATTCCTTCATTTAGAGTCCTGACCATCAGGGGTCTTAATTACAAACCTGACAATAACTCACACAATTATAAGATGTCTTGATTAGTCCTCTATCATCAGCTTCTCTTAAATGGACGATGGACCAATCAGCGCTAAATCCTGCATGTTTGCAGCCAAACAGTGAAGAAAACAATGAGTGTGTGGGGATCTGGCTTGAATCTGACACCATAAGTGGATTTTAAAATATTTCTGTGAGTGTTTATGTCGGAACGGTTGACTCCGCTCCGTTCCTCTCGCAGGGTCCTCCCACCCCTTCTCTCAGCCGCCACTTGCTGCAGCCCGGTGCGTTGTGTAAGACGCGACCTGTAATGGCCACCACTACTTCCGGGTTTCAGCAGTCTGGTCCAGACCCTCCGCGCTCCTCCTCAGCTCGAGACGCACACAACATCCCCATTGTGCGCAGACGGCCGAGGCTGCATACGCATGCACACGCACCCTGCATACACTCCCCACTGGACGCGTTCGCGCACTCGCGCGCTGCATCGATCGTGGCTCCTTTAAGAGAGCCCAAGCCAGAATTATCACCCCACCTCCTCTTGATCTTCCTCTAGACGCTTTTGCATAAGAAAATCAAGCTGGGAGCCGAGAGTGATCAAAGAAAACGAGAGGAGAGCTGCTTCGTTTTTTAACGCTGATTGTGACCATTAAGCGTTGAGGTGGTGCTGATCCCGTGGAGACGCGCGTCAGATCCATCATTCATCCGCTACTTTTGACAAGCCCTCTCGCGTTGTGACTGACAGTCGGAGTGGCAGAAAAGCGATGAGAGTGGCCAATTTTGTTTAAAGGGGGTTGTTTTATTTTTACCCTGCTTTGGGAAAAGGACCCCGGCGCCGCTGCCGAGAGGACAGCCGAGGACGTGTATTCGCCGTGCCCGGGCTGAACTTGCAGTGAGAGCGAGCGGGAGCTCCTTGGAAGAGACAAGAAGAGAAGAAGGAGCTCGGGATTTTGGCTAAAAGCTCTTCTCTTTTGTTTTGGATTTTCCTTCTTTTGTCCCGCGTCCATCCTGGCCCAAGAGGGGATTTACCTAAACTGAAAGGGCAACCAGGGAGTGAGGAGGGTTATGGCGCAACGGGTACGTAGGGACAATCCTCCACCGAAAAAAAGTTTCTCTGAAGTCCACTGCGATGCTTGCTCTGTAACGTGGCTTCATTGACGCTCACAGCCACACGGACCCACGCTCGGCGGCGAAACTTTCTATCCTCTGCCTTCTTGACAAAAGGAGACAGGGTTGCAATGTTTGGCGTCTTTTGGCACGGTGTTACGCACGGCCGCGCTCCACGATCCGACCTCACCGCGGGATACTGGAAGCGCGATCATATCTCTCATCGGGCTATGTTTTTTAGATTAGTTATGACAGGCCAGTAACTGGAGGCGAGGTGTAGGGGGGAGGGCGTAGAGGCAAAACAAATCCATGCATTTTTCTTTATTTGGAGCGTCCAGTCAATATTGAGTACTTTTATTTATTGTCCAAAAAAACTAAACTTTCGTACTATAGCGCTGGAAATGAGACATAAGCATGTTTTGTAAGGTTGGGATGATTCATATAAGTAGTCCTGGACCTTAACATGGTGTAAAAGCAGATGTGTTGCAGGGAGCGGAGGCATTTAGCTGCTTAGTTTGGCACTGCTCTGCAGCCACACCACGCTGGGGTTTGCACCTCTTTGCCTTTAGGGTCGAAACGCTCAGCTTTTAGTGATAATGCTTTTTACTCTCTCCCCGACACTTGTTTGTCACGTCTTGAGAGCTCCATCAATAATTCACACTCTATTTTTTTCCTTCAGTCTGTTACAGAGGAATATGCTGTAGTAAGTTTGAACTCATTTTGAAATCAGATTGTATCCTTCTACTTCTAAAATAAATTAAGTCTTTAAAAACGAGTAGGCAGAGATCTGAGTTTAAAAAGATGATTATTTAGGTAAAGTTTTGTCGGGGAAAAAAACTATCCGCACTAAACATTCTGTACTTGGTTTGCTGCAAAAAAATACGATATTTTAAAATAAAAAAGTTTAAGAGACTTGGTGCATCGTACAAAGCAAAGCAAAAGAAAATCAGGACATTTTACCCCCCTTTATTATTTAATCTATTCTCAAGAAGCCACGTTACTACCTTTTTATAAAAAGAAAAATAAAACAAACAAAACTTTTCTTCTTTCTGGCTTGACGAATCGCAGTGAATGATCTTAGAATAAAAGTAAATATTAGTAAATGGTACTAATTAAACTCGGTGTTGAAGCTTTACTTTTGGAAAAAATGTCCTGCTTCAGATTTGGAAACTTTTCCTCTGCGCGAAAATAACTTAAAGCACCTAAAATGCATTTTGTTTTACTAATTTGTTTGATAAATATGTCAACATTTTTTAAGATTTGAAAAACTAACTTCACTTAAAAGAATTATGCTAAATTTAAAAAATATGTTTTAATTAATAAAAAAAAATCATGCGTTTCCCGATTAAAGAAAATGTTTGATTTTAATAAAACACACTTTGTAATGCAGAATACTGAATATGTTCTTGTCCTGTTTCTGATCTGACTCCGGTAATTCTGCCTGCCTGTCCAGTTTTAACTGCCTCCTTGTTGTGTGCAGTACGAAGACTTGCCCCACTACGGGATGGACGGGGTAGGCATCCCAACCACCATGTACGGAGACCCGCACGGTGCCCGCTCCATGCAGGCGGTGCACCTCAACCATGGCCCCCAGCTCCACTCCCACCAGTACCCGCACACCGCGCACACCAACTCCATGCCTCCGAGCATGGGCTCCTCCGTCAACGACGCTCTCAAGAGAGATAAAGACGCAATTTACGGGTAAGGTGCGAGCCTATTCGGAAACAGCCGCAATGAGTTTGTGGATGTGCAATTTGGCGGAAAGAAGCAAGAAAACAAGAGCAGCTTATCCGAGGATAGTTTTTATTTGGTGTCCAGAAGTAAAGCATAGAGTTGCTGCTTTTTCTTTTTCTTTGCTTAGTGTTAGAGGGTGAGGCAAGTGTACAATTTGATATTGTAAAATTAATAAGTTCGCTTAAAAATTGTGACTTCACTGCTTGGGTATTATATTATAATATTATTCTTATTCCTCATATTTAATCTTATTTTTTAACTTTGATAATGAGCGTAAAAAGGCCATTGCTGTATATTTACTTATTAATTACATAGTTTTCCTCTTGGTTAAGCCTATTTTGAATTAAAGAAATAATAATTACCCTTTTACTTTTCCTCAAATTATATATATATATATATATATATATATATATATATATATATATATATATATATATATATATATATATATATATATATATATATATATATATATATATATATTGTATTGAATTATTTGCTACATTTCTACAAAGAGGTGCAATAGGCATCCAAACTCACACAAGCCTCTGACCCAAACGGGAGATTTTGTGCTTGAAATTGTTTGACAGACTCTCAAGCTTTTATGCTATTAGAGGCAGAGCAGATTTAATCAAAGGAGTCCGCTCGCTGTTTGTAGCTCTTCTAGAGAGCTTGCCCTAAAACAGAAAAAAAATGAAAAGAGGCGCACCGTGCTGAAGCAGCTTCAGTCCCCACGGGCAGGGAAGGGGGTATAGACGCACGGCTGGCTACATCCTATAGCCGGGAGAAGCGTTGACCCCGGCGCTGTTCTCTCTGGTGACATTTGCTATTGTATGTGTGTGTGTTCCCAGGCACCCCCTGTTCCCCTTGCTTGCACTGATTTTTGAGAAATGTGAATTAGCGACTTGCACCCCCAGAGAGCCCGGGGTGGCGGGAGGAGACGTCTGTTCGTCGGAATCTTTCAATGAAGACATAGCGGTGTTTGCAAAGCAGGTCAGAAAAAAAAAAAAAGTTTGACTTTCTGCTGCACAGGGCTGCATGTTCGGACCGGTTGAGCTCCTATAGCTCCAGGTTCATAGTACCTTTGCATTGCTTTTGCATGAACAAAATCACAATTAAATCTCAACATTGTATGTTTTCAGTTGTGCGCATATCTTTGCGCTTTTACGCGCATGCGCGCTAAATTGATAAAATATTCTATATCCATGTTTTCCTGAAACATTTTGTTTTTCTTACAGATTCGGGCAGAAAAGCCTCTATTTTCATCAAATCCAGAGTTGGATAATCTGGTGAGAAACCTAATTATTTTATGTAGCAGATTTGAACTTTTTAGATAGAATTTAGAAGTCTCCTGATGGGCTGCTACCATTCGCTGTTTCGCCACGTGGGGCTGAGAAGTGCAAACGGCATTGCACATCATGTTCCCCCCAGTTTGTGCTGTTTGATATAATGATGGCCCCCGGTTGTATGTGCACATAAAGGGCCGCTGTTAGAAGACGGTCACGCACCTTTAAACTCCCCAAAGTTATTCTGTTCCACCTTTTTTCCACTACTAGATGTCTTAAACGTGATGTTATAGAGAAACACTCTTTTTATCATTAGATTAGATGAAGTGGGGCTAATAGATCTCTGACTCTGAGGCTTATTGCAGTTCCAGCCTGCGCTCTGCATATCCACATTGCAATAACGTCCAAGTTTAATATCACTTCCACATAAAATCCATTGATATGAATATTTCGCTCATCTGCAGTTACTTGCATTGAGAAAAACGCACGTGTTTAATATCAGGAGATGTGAACTGCTCATTTTTTTTATTGTTATTTAAATTTTTCAGATGATTCAAGCCATTCAAGTTTTACGATTTCATCTTCTGGAGCTGGAGAAGGTAATATTACTGTCACTGCTTTTTTTTTTTTTTTTTTTTTTTGTCCAGCATGCCACTTCAGACCTATGGGCTGTATCTGCATAAATGTATTTTTGCGAGTCGGTTATAATTAGCGTCGAAATCAATCATGGGGCCATTTTTTTTCTTGCCTTGCACACTTTAATCACGGCGCAAGCTGTTACAACTGGAACGGATATCTCTGTGCACCAAATATCTCTAATGAAGCTTAATGTTGGCAGCGAAAGAACGCAAGGTGAAACATGTAGGCAAACTTTGCGGGTTTTTTTTTTTCCAAAATTGATTCTTTGAGGAGGGCAGAAGGCCCTCGGGCGGCCATCTGTGTGTAGACCGAGCAATGAGTGTTATATATAGTGAGATTTGTTTCTTTATCAGATGGACGTTTGAAGCGCAATCAACTTATATATATAGTAAAAAAGCTTCTTAATAAATAAAAAAATATATATATATATATATATTTAGACTTGGGATCTATATTTGATTAAACGTATAATAAAATTTAGATTTCCAACCCGAAGTCTTTTGTCGAGCTGCATCACCCTGGCAGTGATAATGTAGTCCTGAGAGAAAATGAAACAGTTTACCTTAAATGTCAGTCAAGCGGGTCGTCCTCGGTTTAATGGCCACTACCCGGGGCACCGATGATGAATTTAGCACGGGTGTTGAGTGTGTTGTAGCCTCTGAGCCCTCTTGTCACTGTCAATTTTTGACGATATCTCTATTTTGAGTGGAGAGAAATTAAAGCAGCAGCTTCCTGTGGAAACGGATCTATGAAATCTAAACAAATATTTAAAAACTTTAAGATTGGTTGGGGGAAATAAAATAGAAGAATTTGAAAAGTTTACTTTGATAGCAAATTAACAAACTTTTTTGTCTAAATAAAACTTCACATGCTTGTAACTTTTGTCCGAACTTTTATTTTGTAATATGACAAAAATTGAGTCAAAATTATTACGTCGATTTTTTTATTTTTATTTTGAATGAATCACTGTTAAACTAGTTAAAGCACATAACCTGATTAGCATAACTTCTAAAATATTTCCCTTCAGATAAAAAAGTACTTTTATTTAAAAAAGAAAAAAGTAGGCCCACAGGATGTTTTCTGTTCTGCTTACTTAATATTGAATTAAATCAAATACTTTTAAATTTATCCACACTGAACAGGATTTCATCTGGAAAAAACTTTGAGAATAATTTTATTTTTAAAATTGTTTCCATTCTGCTTCATTTTCTTATTATTATGAAATGTTTTCCCTTCTAAAATGTTTGCTGTTTTTTAATCTTTTCCATCTTGGCACTGCTGTGTAATCCCCTCTCTTCCTTCCCTCCCTGCAGGTACACGAGTTGTGTGATAATTTCTGTCACCGGTACATCAGCTGCTTGAAAGGCAAGATGCCCATCGACTTGGTCATAGACGACAGAGAGGGCGGGTCTAAATCAGACAGCGAGGAAATCACGAGATCGGTGGCGTTGGATCAGGTAAACAGAATCTCTCCATCTCCAACTTGGTGCATGTGTGTGAGAGCGCGCGCGTTCCTTGCGCGCGTGTGCTTTCTCCCTGCCGGCTATTCAGCTATTCTGGGTCACTGCTCCACTCCTCCGTTATTTGCATATGATTAAAGCCCGTTTTACATTCCATCCATCGGAATGAAAGAAGAAAAATCTGAATAATGTTGCTATTATTGGTCCATTAAGACTTGAACCCGGAACCGACCTGAGGAGATTACCTCGCCGAAGAATCGCCATAAACTTGACCTGCTTCATGTCGATTTTAATTTAGAGCCTCTCTTCATTTTTTTCCCTCTCTCTTTTTTGGAGAGCACCCCCTAGAAACAAAGCAAAACTCCTGCGTGACGTGGAGCTGAGAGGAAAGTGCAGCATTGTGAGGCTGCAGTTTCTCCACTGTAGAGTTCACGGTTCATTACTCGTCTTGTCAGTGTTTTTCCTTAGACATGAGTGCACATTGCTTATCGGGACCCCCGTCTCCTCCTTATTGTGCACAGATTCTTCCCCAATAAGAAGGTTTATTTATTTATTTTTTTCTAAAAAAAGAAAGAAATTCGGAATCAGTGAGGTATTAAAAGGTAGATCAGGAAGTGTTTTCTTTTGTGCAGATATCAGAGCTAACCACAGCCTTCATTATGTGCTCCACTGACTGTTGGCACTCTGGGGAGGAGATATGCGCACATGCATGACCCTAATGGTCCATACACTGCAGTTAAATAATGATAACAGTAAGTGATGATTAGAATTATGCAAATCTGGATGTTGGCTATTAGCAGTATATTTGAGCTAGACAAGGTTGGAGTAGAGATGCACCAATCAGTCAGCCAGTCATCAGAATCGGCTGACCTGCTCTGACTGCTCAGGATGCAATAAAACTATGTGATATTTTCCCAATAACAGTATCTGTGTTTATATAATAATTTTTAGAACTTTAATGAAAAAATATATCTCCATGTGTGGTAGGATAATAAACCAGAAATTGGTACCAGCTAGGAAAAGCCTGATTGGAGCGTCTTTGGTCTGTTGTGCAAAAACAAGTCAAACTATCCAAGAGTTTTAAAGGGCTTAATATACTATAGGCTATAACCTATAGATGGCAATGAGGGGGTTGGGGGGTGGGAATCAAGTGTCTAAATTAAGGGGATTAGCTGGATAGTCCTACATAAAAAGTAATGAAGCGATTAGGCTAAATAATTTAAATCCATGGACTTCCATATGGTTGAGTGCTTGGTCTGAGTGCAGGAGAGGGGCAGCCACTGGCTTTTTATGTCCTGGACTGAATGGCAGGACAGAGAGAAGAAGACTGGGGGCCCGAATGAGAAGACCCCCCCTCCCTCACGCCCCGCCGCGCATACTCTACTCCTCCGATCCCTGGCCCTTATGTCTGATTATGGAAATGAGAGGCAGAGAGAGAGATCACGGCAGAAGATAATACTTCATTTAATCCAAGGACATAATTAAATAACACAGAACACCACTTGTGCATTTAAGTGTCTCTTTGAGCAGCATTGTCACCTATTCTCTCAGGCATTCAGTGTTGAAAAAAAAAAATCTTTTATATTATTATCATGATTTCAAATAGATAGGTCAGAAGATTGACTGAACCACTATGGTATGCAGATGTGCAAATATTAAGAAAAAAAACTCTGGGGATTTGAGGTATATGAAGGAAGTGATGTTGTGCTTGGGGCACTCGTGCAGATCTTTAATTGACTGTATGAAGACGTGGCCTATTTTAACATAATGATGGTCCCTGTGTAGCCAAATCAGGACAAATCCTCATTGGATTATGTTTACACTGACAGAATAATATAAATGACCTACGAGCATATCAAGATATAAGATAACTTTCTGACAGATGTGTAATGTTGAAGGATGAGTTTATTTTGTGTGTGTGTAAATAGGCATATCCAAACAGACAGCATGTCCATGCCTGTTAGAGCTGAATGCATGCATTGTAATAAAACATGGGCTGCACAGTACATCTGTGATTTCACATATATATATATATATATATATATATATATATATATATATATATATATATATATATATATATATATATATATATATATATATATATATATATATGAGTTTTTGTATTTTTGTGCTACATCTGATCTGTGGTCGTTAGGCAGCGACACCCTTCACCAATTTGCATTGTGTGAGCATTATCTCTTTCCATATGTATTTTTAATATATGCCCTCGGGCATGAAGTTGAAGTGGACTGGAAAGTGAATTTGCACAAAAGAACAATGTTAACAAGAGAGAAAAACCGGGCTCATTTATTCACAAACCAATTTATCCTAGCGAGGCGACTGTAGCAGGACAAAAAAAAAATATATCAGAGGGAAAAAAAAAATGCTTTGAATTGATTCAACTCACCAATCTAACAATGCTGACTTTCTTAGCTGCATTATCCCCACGTCATAAAAGTGACTGCGTTTTTTATTTACGTGTGTTTTTATTACTTTTCTTTTTTTTTTTTTTTTTTTTTTCCTTGTCTAAGAGGGAGATTTTTACGGCACTTTTAAGAAGAAAGCGCAGCATACCTGAGAGGTGAAAAAGTCAGAGGCTCTGCGCTGGCTTGTGAATGCAGCTCAGCTAGTTTGGGCTCACCCTCAAATGTTTTTGTGTGTCTTAGTCTGTGCAAGCTTGTGCACGAGTGTGAGTGATTGTGTATTTGTGCATGCACGGTGCAGCTTGTGTGTGTTCAGACCAGCCTGATAAATGCAGCACCCCCCTCAGGTGCTATGTGAGTGGAGTGACTGGTTAGCACCAGTTGGACTCTCTTAACTCCTTCCTTGCTGGTTTCCACAGACTTTTCTTAATGGTATTCGTTCTCTTTTCAGCACATCTGTGAAGTCTTGTTGTTTAAATATGCTGCAGTATTCTGCCTTGCATCTCGGTCGGAGGAGTCAGGGAAATGTTGCAGGACGTCATTTGCGCAGTCTTTAATTGCTCAGAGTGCAGGAGGGGTGGGGGTGAGGAGTATTGCAATTTGTTAATGAACTCCAAGGCCCGTTGAGCCTGAACACCACTAATAGTGCTGAGGACTCACTCCAAGTCTCAAGAGCTCCTCTACTTGAAGTGGGGCTGGAAATAATTGAAACTTCCTAAAAAAAAAAAAATGATTACCTGCCTGATTGCAGGAGTCCTAAACGATTCTGAATGCCCGGCGACTGATGTGATATGTTCTTATAGCCCACAGTGTTGTTTACCTTTTAGAAAGGTTCCCTGGCACTGCAGCTGGAATCATGTAGAAAGAAGACGCAACGGCGACAATCTATCTATACGTTAAGGGATCTGTGGCTGGTTTTCACTACATCCCACTTGGCCTTTCCAAAACAAACCCTGCTTTTGAGGGGCGTGTTGTGGTCATGGTGTAAGATTTTACCCCTGATAGTGCTATCATGGTATCTTCTCCCAACAAATGGCACTGTTTTGCCAAACAAGTGAGGGCTTCCAGGTCAGTGGGACCCAGCAGTGTTGGTTTAGGTAACTCTGATTATCAAATACTACTGAACCCCAACTCCCCCCCTTCCAAGCCTCTGAACTCCTGAGCCGATGGAAACTATAACTGCCGGGGTCAGGCACTATTTTCCTAATCAGTTCACCACTATCGCTAATCTATCTGCCTCTCGTCAAGGTATGGATCGGGTTTCAGCCGACCTCTGCTGCTCTCCTACAGTGGCGCACTGCTGTTCTTAATATAAACTTTTAAATCATTGTATTGATTGTTGGTAATAGCAGCTTTTGTAGTTGAATAGAAGACAGGTTTGACCCCCACAGTCACCCCCTCCCACCCCCTTTTTCCTTTCACCTCCTCCTCCTTCTACTCCCCTAAATTCCCCTTTTTTTCTTCTCTTTGAGTTGTGAATGCGGGGCGGCTGTTGAGGATTCAACAAGTGATACAAAGAGGTGACCACGTGACTTGTGTGTTCCTTAGCCTCTTCATTATTGTGCTGGAATAACAAGTAGGGGTGATTATGATTATGCAACCCGATGCTGGAATAACATCAAAGAATCTAGAGTGCATCTTAAATGCCACCATACTTTTATTGTTGTTTTGCTGTTGATTTATTGTTTGTTTTTTGAATGTTGAAGTATTGCTGGAAAGTAGAGCTTGGTTGAACCACAGGATCCCAGCTGCAAATAAGTTCCTGGCTTGTGACTGCTGATGCTTAAGATGAGCGTCCATGTCCGTCCCCGAGGCCTTCTGTGGTTTCTTAGGCTAAGTAAACAATAACCTGGCTTAACACATGTGTACTTAGCTAATGGAAAGTTCCTCTCCCCCTTAACCCCCTGCAAGCCTCCGACAATGGCCGCCGTCACAAACAGCTTGTCTCTAAGGAATCGGCCGAGAAAATCCCAGCAAGTTAACCCGCAGCTTGACTTGAAGAAGAACCCGCTGCGAAATGTGTCATTAAGAAATCACGTCCACCCTTTTTTTTTTTTTTTTTTTTTTTTTTTCACCCACAGCTACATAAAAAAACAAAACAAAGCAAAGCAGGGATGTGCTTTGTCTAGTGGTTAGGGAGGGCACCAAAGTTAATGTTTTTGTTTGGATTTCGGCTCTCACGGGATAAACAAGGAGCGTATAGCGAGAGTCGTAGAGGAAGCTGAGAAATAAAATCAGTTTGTCAGTTTCTACGAGTGCCATCTAAGCAGACTTTGAAAGCTCCGGTAATTATCTTAAACATGTAATTATCTTTGCTTGTCTCTGCGAAGTTAACCTACCAGTTTTGAAGTGTACCTGACGGCTATTCAGCGTAGCATACTTTACGCACTCAAGAGACAAAATCCAGTTTTCTTCCTCTCCCCCTTCAGCAATTATAAGGTTATTTCTCCTTTCTTTGTCTATTGTTAGGAGTTAGGGAGTGCAGAACAAAATGGGAAGGAGGGGGTCCTTTTTACTCTCCCCCCACTTTTTTTTTCCCCTTTTCACCACGCATACCATTATCAGCGTCTC